CCTCCCTCCCTCTCTCTCTCTCCCTCCCTCCCTCCCTCCCTCCCTCCCTCTCTCTCTCTCTCTCTCTCAGAGAGAGAGGGGGGAGAGAGGGAGAGAGAGTGAGTTGTTGGTGTTCACCCAGTGAACACCAATCCAATACAGAAACTCAACAAATCCCAGTTACTTTATCAAAAAAGTAAAATCACCAAAGAAGACCAGTACAGACTCATCCTTCAATACTTCTATGGATGCCCCAAAGCACACTAGCCAGACATACCTCTCAATTCAATTGTATCATTACCAGAGACCTTAACCTATGACATCACTTTAAAAATTGATAATAAAGTTTAGACATTCAGAACAGCAAATATTCCATCCATTGACCACTGCAGTACCTCCAAGGAATAAAAGATGTAGAAATAGAAGATGAAACATAGTTTCATTTGATGACACAGCACTTATATCCATAAAACCAGAATTAGCCAAAAAAATCTATGACAGTACTATTACACAGCAACCTGACCTAACCAAATTGACCAGGATTGAAATACCCAGTATCATGGATCTTAATAACCTTTGCCTAACCACCTTTTTTCAGTTTGGTGGAGAAATATATCAACAAATCAAAGGAACACCCATGGGATTACTGTTTTCAGAACCAATAGAAGAGACCGTAATGTAACACCTATAGCATTCCCATGCATGCAACCCATTCTGGCAAATGGATAAAACCTTTATCATAATAAAAAAAGGATTACTAGAGAACACACACAAAATCATAAATATAGCCAAAGGAATAAAATTCCCTATGGAAAAAGAAAACAAGAACACATTACCATTCCTGGATATCCTCCCCATCAGAGATAATGATGGCAAATTAGAACATGTCTATTGTAAAATTACCCACATCAATCAAGTGTTCTACTACCAAAGTAACAACCCAACCTCTCACAAGAGAAACTATGTAATAACACTATTTAGGCGAGCACAAAACTTCAGCAACTTTGAACATTAAAAAAAAGGAAACAGATTTATATAATGACACAATGGACCATCAATATTCACCATTTTCATATCATACTCTCTTATACAGATCTCTCTTATTTGGATAAATGAGAATATTTGTAAATATTCTCCACAGAATTGAATTGTGGAATCTTTGATGTTTTCTGAACTTGGTTGCTTTCTGGCAGATGTTTCAGTACCAAATTAGGTAACATTATCAGGACAAGAAGGGAATGTGGTTTGCTCTCATTCTATGTATTAGTGGCTTGAAATGTTGGTGTTGGTGAGATTGGTCTTGGTGGTTCCCTAATTAGGCTGTTGTTCTGACCACCTCCTCCATCCAGTAACGAATGCCGAGACAAGCTTAACTGGAATGTACTTTATTAGCAAGAAACCAAAACCTCGGTGGCAGAAAGCCAAACATAACAAACAGATAAGGGCCTTGGCAGCAACTCAGACAGGCCTTGGCAATTGAATATTATTGAAGACGCTCATCTTTTGCTTTTATTTATACAAAATGTACATCTGCCCATATTTGGAACTAGATAGTTGAATTATTTATAAAATCATTTACAATGTGGACATCATCCAAAAAAGAAAGTATTTCTGCATTGCACAAAAAAATAGCTGAATTTGTTATTTTATTAAAACTTAGTTCTAGCCCTGTTTGGCATTCAATACAAGAATGCAAATCAGCTGTTCAGGGATGCCCTGAACTGAGAAAACACTGATATACATGTGGCTATTTAATTTTAATCACATTAAATATGTGAATTTGGGGAAAATGTCTGGTCTGCCCTGTTAGTTATCCACTTTCTTTAAACTATATACTTGCTAAGTCAGTTTTATGTTACCAGTAAAAATTCTTGAAATAACCAATTGAGAAATTTTCTTCCAGAATCCTCTATGAGAAGTCATCAACTTATGACCATTTGTTCAGCAGTTGTTATGATGATGTTGAACAAAGGAATTTATGACCCTTGCCCAAAGTTCCAAGTATTGCAGTGCCCATACAGTCATTAGACATATAAGTAATAATGATTGTCTATATTATTGACTTTAAAATGTTTTTAAAATCACCCTCATCACACTGTATTTATTTATTATTATGTTTTAGGTTCTGCACAATAAACTTATGATGGAGATGGAGCATCCAACAGTAGGGAAGATTACTGTTCCAGGTTGGCACATTTTCTTAAGATTGATATTACTCACCAAAATAAAACATTTTGCATGGGCTTCAATGAGATTCTGTGGCTGCATTTGTACACTATATTAAACCATGAATCAATAAACTAATTGGTGATACACTGGATTCATCAAGATTAAATTAGCATAGTGAGTGAATGAAGCTGCTAGGTCTTTATCATATATGATTAAGAATATTGCATGAGTCCAGTTTATATATGTAATTTCCAAAGCTAAAGATCTATCTAGCATTCAGATTTCGGAGACAGCCGCAGACACAGTGCAGACAATTCTGGGTGGCACTTAAAACTGGATTAATCCCATATTCTACAAAAAAATCAGTTTCCCACCTTCAGCATAGTTCACCTTAAAAGCAGTTAATCATGCCGATGTATTTTTGCTGGCTAACATAGGAGAAAGTGTTAAATCTCATGGCAGCCCATAAAACAGCCCTGAAGGAAAAAGGAGAACAATTGCAATATTGTGCCTCCTAGTTCTAATTGCTTGACCTAGCCAGAAAAATACTATCATAGACTAGGATCAATGCTCCCCCTCCCCAAATTCCAGTTCCACTAAAGACCTCCAAGAAGCATGATCAATATAATACTCAAATTAGACAAGTTGAAGTCTCCCAGTATCATACATTTGGGAAAATTTCACTCCCGCCCATGTATATGTGTTGCATTCTAGTGCAGAGGCAATATTCCCATCTGTATCCTATAGCCCAATCTCACAAATAACTTCTCAGTACCTCTGCAAGTTGTAAAGATCTTCTGAATGACAGGAGTCATCCATCTGGGATTCATCTGTCATGACAGCTGGTACTACATTTGAAACCTAGGTGCCACATCTCCAAAAGGAGTACATATCCCTCAGGGCTCATTTAAATCTTGCTTATAACAGTCATCAAATTGTGTTCAGATCAGTTATCATTTACCTCATCTAAAGATTACTTTAAAAAGAATGTAAACTAAGAAAAGCAGACAGTAGTGGTGTATGAGAGTTTCTATCTAGATTGTTCCCATTATTAAGGGATCAGGGATGAAATTTAGCAGGTTCTGGAGAACTGGTAGCGGAAAGTTTGAGTAGTTCAGAGAACCAGCAAATAGCACCTCTGGCTGGTCCCAGAATGGGGTGGGAATGGAGATTTTGCAATATCCTTCCCCCAGGAATGGGGAGGAGATGGGGATTTTGCAGTATGCTTCCCCTGGAGTGTGGTGGAAATGGAGATTTTGTAGTATCCTTCCCCAAGCCATGCCTGCAGAAATCATAGTAAAAGTTTTTACTACTGGCCTGGATGCTTCTAAATGAGAAAGACCAGGTAAAGGGTCCCTCTGTATGCTTTGGTTATTCTAAATGACACATGACGGTAACATGGACAGTTTGGGTAGTTTGAAGGAGGAGAATGTTTTATCAGAAGGGAAATATTCAAAGTAGTTATATAATTTCTAAAGCTTTTTTTCATGTGAGTGTGTAACATTCTCTATTTCCTGTCTTTGATTTCTGGGAACATGAGGCAAGATATCTTCAAATCCTACCTCTTCTGGTAGGATTTATGGGGAGTTCCAATAAATAAGAAAAAATACTCTTTACTTGAAAAAAAACATTCATAAGCATAGGTTTGATGAATGGTTTCTTTTTTCTTTTTTTACAAATATTTCTGTTATACCATCTATGAATAGTAGTCCTCAAATCATGTATCCTACAATAGATCTTTTGAAATTAATTGCTTACCCTGGAGCCAGTTGAACTAATCGGGGAGTGAGGAAGCTATATGTATTTAGACATCTATGTTTGTTTTAGGTTTACCTTGAGCCTTACATGAATTGTGGCCTTGTGTGTTTGTATGAAATATTAAAATATGGCTGAATCAAAAGGACGGTTTTCCCCCCTTCCATAGGAAGAAGGGAAATCTCTTGAAAATAGTAATTTTGTTTATATATTGTATTTGTGTAAGATGACTTAGAGATACAGAAAAATAATGTATAATGCAGAGAAGAAGTGAGGAAACAGTGAACTGTTACAGTGTCTTACCTTCTATTAGCTTTAGTTCGATAATTGAATTACATTACTAGCTTACGCACAGAAAGGAGAGGAAAGCAGGAAGGAAAAAGAAAGAAAAGAAGGCAGTGCCGAGTTAACTACTGCTAAGAGGAATAGGTTCCTCCCAGGAAGATATATTGACAGTCGGAAGTTCTGTTTTAAATCTTTTAAGGGAGCCGATGTACTATTCTTTTTCTTTAAATAGAATCTGATTAATCAGAAATATGTTTGTAATTTTCTAATATTCAAGTTAGATGGATGCAACATGTTATAAACTGGCTGCATTTGAAGACAATGATAGTTTTAATTTCTTCAGAAGAAAGCCCCACTGATTCTGTGGAGCATAAAAAGAGCCTAGTTGAATCAGCCCCACAGGCCAATTGAACAATGCATTTTGTATCATCTCATGGTGCCAATCAGATGATGTCTTGCCATTGGGGTTAGAGCAGACCAACTTTAAAACAAAGAGTTCTGTCTATAAAAGGCTAATTGGATTATGTAACTTGTTCCCAAGGTGTATTTATTAGCAGTAGTTTCCAAATTTTATTTTATTTTATAGTAATATTATTATTAATTACAATTAAAAAATATAATACAAACAAAAAGAAATAAAAATAGAAAGTGAAGAAAAGGGAAACAACTGAAAGATAGAAAAGAATATAGTAAAGAAAAGAAGTATTTAAAGAAATAACTTCACTATTTTTCACAACAAATATAATTTTTTTAGCAACTTACCACCTTTTATTGAAATACAACAACTGGTTTTAGCATTCTCCCCACAGCAATATTGGAGGGGAAATATAGGAAAATTGGTAAACAATGAGAGGGAGATATAATAGAAATTATAGTTTTGTTATCCTGCCAATTTTAGAGAGATTCTTAGTGCAGTTGATTTCCAATTTCCTTTCTATATTCCTGGGGTATATTCTGACTTATTTTACCTCAATTACTTCTTAGACCACAAGGGCAATTCAGTATCCTTAAGTGTTGCTTGGTTTTGATACACTATGTGTAACTTCCAGCTGTCTATGTGCTATAATTGACAATGGTTATCTTTTTACTGTAGGTTTTTTTTCCTTTTGTTCTATGGCTGTCATAAATTTCCCACTCTCCCCCTAATCTTTTTCTATAGCAGCAAATATTTAAGGTATTCTGGCTATAATTTAGGAAGTGGATGTATAGCGATCAGGACAAGTAAGTCCTGACATCTAATCCTGTTTGAATTTGCCCCATTCCCTTTTAAAAATTAATCTAAATCAGTGGCTGTCATCAGATCTGATGAGAACAGTATGTATAAGGAAGGTTTTTTTAATTGATTCTGAATGTCTCTACAATAGAAAAATCTCAGATTTTAACATTGTAGCAATGGGAGAAAATTGAACAGACCGTGGAATTTTATATTTTTCTCATATGTGTTTTCTTACCTCACTTTAAGCAAAAAAGCCCAAACTTTATAGTTGCTCTTTGTAGAGGAACACTTCAAATCCTGTTATCATGTCATTTCTCCTTTTGTCGTCTTTCAGGTTTTCAGTTTTTGTATGTGTGGTCATCAGAAATGAATGCAGTATTCCAAGAATTATATATAAAAAACATTAGGATTGGTAGTTTTATTTTCAATTCCAGATGATTCCAAGCACAGATTTCCCCCTTTTTATAACACATTATGTTGACATTTTTGTTTCACTGTACCCCAGAGCTTTTAGTTTTGATCCTATTAATGTCTAAGCAACATTTAGGTTCTTAGAATAAAATGCATTACCTTGCATTTCCTTACATTGAACTATATTTTCAATCTCAGGGCCTATTTATTTTTTGTCAAACTTGAAGTCTTTCTTTTTTAAAAATCTTTTATTGGGTTCCTATATTTTTTAATGCCAAAATTCCTTTTGCTTTCTTTGTTTGGAAAAGACTTCAGTTTTTAAAGGAAGTCTTCTTGATTGGAATAGCTTCTCTGACTTGGCTTATTAACTATTCAGGGTCTTCTTGGTAGCACCTTTTCTGATCTATACATTCCATCTAAGCCAGTGGTGGGTTGCAGGCGGTACGCCCCGGTACGGGCATACCAGAGCCTCCCCAGAGCATCGGGTACCGTTCCCACCCACCCACCCGAGCTCCTTACCTGTCCTTTAAAGCCTTTGGTGCTTCTATGCATGCATATGGTGCATACAGCGCCTGCGCTCCGCTGAGCAGCTAGAGAGTTACGGAGGCTTGTGGAGGCATCGCTGGAATGTATGACGCATGCTTGTGCCATGTGCGTGTGTATATGCACCACGTGCATTCATGTGGAAGACGCCGGGCCCCATTGCAACAGGATCCAGAACCCATGACTGATCTAAGCTTCTATTAAAAGTAGTTCTCAACTTACAGCTATTTGTTTAACAANCCGGCTTCTATCGGGCGAGAAGCCAGGCAGCCATCCAGGTCCTGCACATGCGCAGTTTAATAAACAAACAAACTAATAAATAAACTTCTCAAAATTTACAAATAAACATTTCTGACATTTCAAAAAAAATCATTGACCAAAATAGGTACCCATTTTTCAATAACAGTCATAAGTGTTCCATTCATGGAGTCTGTCAGTTTCTTGATCTGTTGATGATCAACTGTTGGTGTAGCAGCAACCACAGCCTCCCAGACCTGTTCTGAGAGGTGTGCTGTTTTCCTTCACTGTAAATCTACCATTTAAGAAGGGCCCACAAGTTTCAATAGGGTTTAGGTCAGGTCATGCATTGTGGGATTCAAATAATTTAACAACCAGTTCACACAGGGTCAGGTTGGCTGTCGTGGGAGGTGCCCATCCCTGTCCTCCAGCTCTGCTGCATATATGGGATGAGCCTCCCATGAAGACTGACCTGATCCTGGGCCAACTGGTTGTTAAATTACCACCACTACTCCACTATCAGAGTAAATCCTGGATGCTGCTCTGCAATGGAGAAAAAAGAAATGGGCTGGCTGGCAGGAGAAAAGGGGCAGGGAGAAGAAAGAGGGATAGCAGCTTCCTCCCCTCGCACCAGCCGTTTTGTTGCCTGTTTGTCTATTGCAGTACAACACTGTGACGTGGAGCTTGCCACACCCACCCACCACCACCCAGATGTCCTCGCTTCCCCTAAACATTTCTTTGTTTACCAGGTCTATCACCTTTCTCCTTCGTGTTTCTTGCCATCGTGTGCAGGGACACAAGTTTGTGGGACTAAAAAGTTCAATCAATCAATTCCTACTGGGTGAGATGTTTTTTTCACTAGAAGTTGGAATTGATTGCTTGAAGTTTTTT